GTGCACCTAGTCGGTCTTCCAATGGAATTTAGTGATTGTGTGAATGAATGAATGAACCAAGGGCAGTGACCCACCCCCAAGAGAAAATCCTTTGGGGGGTGGGTGGGAGTGGGGGCCAATGAGGAAGGAAAACACTTCTGATTTCTTAACCAAGAAAATAGCCTCCAGCCATACGCCCCATTCTTTGAAGAAGGAAAAAGAGAAAGCTCGTTAGAGAGAGAGAGAGAAAAAAAAAAAATCTTTCTCTGTTTTCCATGCAATGCAATTACGTTCCAGCTTTTTCTCCTTGTTATTCTTTTAAGCCAAATGTCTGAATAAAAGGATTATTCCCCCGCTCCCCCCACCCAGGACCGTGGGGGCCTCTGCTAGCTAGATTAACTGCCGCCCGTGGCTTCCACATCTTCTATGAAAATAAGTGAGGTCAGCTGCCATTCAATTGTCACAGCATATATATTTGAAAATTTAAATATTTGAATCAAAGGAAAAAGGAGGATTTGCATTTCTGCCCGATGCGACGAGCGAGTTCCGTGAACGCCGCACAATGGAAACGTTTCAGTGGGAATGAATTGTCTGCTCGCAGGAGGATTCTGCACAAAGGCACCCAATGCTTTCTCTTTTGTTTCTTCTGCTTTTGCTTTGTGTTGTGTTTTTCTTTCCTGTTGCCCGCTCCATCCAGGAGGGTGTTTTCTGAAACTTGGTGATTGACTTCGGTTTCAAGGACATAAAGAAACATGGAAAAACTCCCAAGAAACGCTCACATCAGAGGCCCCTCTGGCACAAAAGCAAAATTTAACTGAACATGCGAGGGTGGAAAAATAGATATAGGGGACTCCCAATACCACCAGAATGGGCTAATCAGCTGACTCCAGCTGGACTGGATGAGGCTACTAACGAAGGCCCAGTGGGCGGGGCGGAGGCCCAAGAGCTCCGCAGCCCTTGGCCTGGGCTCAACCCTGCCGACGCCCCGATTCTCCAGGGATCCCAAGTCCATCAGCTCCAGATATGCCCTCTCCCCGGTTAGTGTTAGGGGCACACTGCCATAGGCTTTGCTCCTGGCTTTTTCATCTTGTCCTCGGAAAATGGCATTTTGCGGGCCTCACTGCTTCCACAAGGAGTCCCCAGGTGTTGGGACGTTGCTTCTAGCGGAAGCCGGCTGGGAGGTGGTGTCATGCGCTTTATTAGAAATGGTCTCAAAGCTTGGTCTGCGTGGGTCTGGAGGCCAGGGGAGTGGCTTCTCTGTCTGGACCTGGGTCTGGACAGGTGTCTCCCCTCAGTAGAACTGGGGTTGGGTGGGTGCTGGGGTATTAGCCTCCCAGGGCTGCTCTGACAATGTCCCTTCGACGTTCACGTCTCCAGTCCTGGAGGCTGGAATCCCAGACCCAGCTGTGGGCGGGGCTGGTCCTCCTGGGGCCTCCCTCCTGGGCGTGGAGATGGCTGTCTCCTCCCCGCGTCCTCACAAGGTCCTCCCTCTGTGCTTGTCTGCGTCCTGACTTCCTCCTCTCCTTAGGACACCAGTCCTGTGGGGTTAGGGCCCCATCCTTGTGACCTTGTTTGAAATGACTCACCTCTTAAAAGTCCTCTTTAAAGGTCACATTCTGAGATACTGGGGGTTAGGACTCCAGGAGAAGTTTTCTGGGGACACAGCACAGCTCAGCCCGTAATCCTGGGCTTCCAGTTAGGGCATCATGCCCTATAACCTGGGATTCCCAGTGGGGAGCTGCCTGGGTCAGTGTGAGAGTGGGGGCTGGGTGGTGGTGCCAGCTCCCGAGGCTGGGGGTGGTGGGCTTGGTGACTAACGCTCATGACTAATGCAGGCTCTAGGGCCTGACACTTTTCAGAGAGGCCTCAAGGGGCATCCGGAGACCCCCGTCCTTCCGGGCCCATCCCACCTCCCTTCTGGACTGAATATTCTCCTTGGAGTCCAGAAATGGATGCTTATCTCACGCCCAGCTCCTTTGGACCTGGGCCCCAGTCCAGCGGGGCAGGGAGAGAGGGCTGGCAGGGCCACCTCGAGGGCCCCAGTCCCCCTCCTGGGCCTCAGGGTGGCTGCTCTGCCGAGCCCCTTGCCCCACAGAATCAGTGCTTCCTGCTTCTCTCCCTTGTGTCTGACCGGGCTTTTCTTTCCTTTTTTTCCCTCTCTTATCACATTCCTGACTTTTCTTTTCTCTCCCAACGTCCCCCCACCCCCTATAATTTCTAAATCCGAATAAAAGCCCAGTAGGGCTGAAATGTGAGACGGACTCCATGCTCTGCAGGATGACCTGGGGCCGGAGCCCGACACCCCCCCACCCCCCACCCCCTCCAGTGGCTGTGTGACCCACACAGGCTTTCCTGACCTCTCTGAGCCTTGAAGGTGGGCCCCTTCCATGGCAAGCAAAATGCTGACCTGGCTCATGGGCAGAGTGAGAAGGAGCTAAGGAAAATGGCTGAAAAAACACTCTAGGCATTTAAAAAATGTCACGTAATTGCAAAATAATAATGATAACAACAATATACTTTGGAATTTTGCTGGAACTTAGAGTGGGCCCAAGTGGAATTTGGCGTGGAGGGGGCCTGCCCTGGCCTCTGTCCAAGGGGCTTTAGTTACTGAGGCGACCCCAGGACTCCGCTTGAAGGTGGTTCCTCTTGTAAGGTGGTCCTGCCTCGTACCCTTGCTCCCCCACTGGCCCCGGGCAGGCTCACTGAGTTCCTGCCACAAGGCTCAGGTCACACGGCTGGCAAACCAATAGTGTTTTAAAATTTTTTTTAATTCTCAAAATGAAAATAGCCTTATGTTTCTCTCTGATTGTAGAAGTATTTTACACTCATTGTGAAAAAATGCAAAAAACACAGAAATGCATCAAAAAGAAAGTAAAATTCCTCCAGACAGAGCCTCCTACTAGAACATCATCAAAGATGGCAGTTTGGGGCTCTACACAATTTCGGGACCCATGTTTACTTTTTAGATTCAAAGTACATATTCTAGTACATATTTTGAAGCATTAGAGTAAATGCATATACACACATAGCTTAATTTCAAAATATTTAACCATGATGAGAGGTTTAAGACCCATAATATGAGTGTGGTAAACAAAATGACAGACACACCGTTTGGAAGAAGGATTTCAGCACAAGCGGCAACTGGCAGCGGCGACTGTAGCAAAATTTGTGTCTTAGTACATGCGTTGGTGAAGGGCTGGACCCTCCTCCGCTGACAGGTTGGGGCGGGGGATGCTGTTGTTGAAACGTGGTACCACCAACAGGAGGAAAGCACGGATGCTTATAGAGACCGCTTGCCAGAAGAGATGAAGTCACTGGAAGTGAGGTCCAGAGTGGCCGGCGAGGCTTGGGCAAGGCTGCCATCCCAGGACACCTCGCAGGGGCAGAGGAGCGCTCCACTATTCCCACGGATGGTCTCCATTCCCACGAGGCCTCCAGCAGCATTCCCACGGAGAGGGAAGTCTCTGGTTAATGAAGTGATCGCAGGGGTTAGGCCAAACCATGTTTGTCTCAAACACATGTACAAATCTTGTTTGAAATGTTTCCTGGAAAGAAATGAAAGGGGAGGCCTGAGGGGGGCACCTGCTATTTCCACGCTGATAGGAAATGGTTTCCATCCCGTGGCCATGGAAACTTCCATGGTGCATCCAGCTGTGTATTTCCCACGAGCCCTCCTGCCTGCCCACAGCTCGTCACCGTGTCAGTGCAGATCCCAATCCGGCAGGTCGGGCATCGGGGTCGGCGGAGCTCTCTGGCCCAGGCCCGAGTGCCAGCTGGAGCCCCTGTGACGTTCCCCACTGAGCCCCCCGGGCCAGGTTTCGTGCTGGCTGGGTGCTGTGCACGCACAGATGGAGTGAGCCGAGGGCTCCCCTGAGGACCTGCGTGAGTGAGGTGCTGGAGCCTGTACTGGAAGCCTGGATCTGGGGGAAGGGGCAGGGCCATGGAGCCAGCAGAGAGGGCACTCTGGGCAGAGGGATCAGCGGCCAGGAGCCAGCTGGACCAGCTCACTGGTGCCAGCCGATTTTGGACCTGACCGATGGATCGCCTAGGATGGTGGTGTGTCAGCCCTTTGCCTGAGGGGACCACAGAAACAGAACCGAAAGTCTGAGGAACACTGGTGTTGTTCAGTTGCTAAGTTGTGTCCGACTCTTTGTGAACCCATGGACTGCTGCACACCAGGCTCCCCTGTCCTTCACCATCTCCTGAAGTTTTGCTCAAATTCATGTCCATTGTGGCGGTGATGCCATCCAACCATCTCACCCTCTGTCCTCCCCTTCTCCTCCCACCTTCAGTCTTTCCCAGCATCAGGGTCTTTTCCAATGAGTCAGTTCTTCTCATTAGGTGGCCAAAGTATTGGAGCTTCAGCTTCAGCATCAGTCCTTCCAGTGAATATTCAGGACTGATTTCCTTTAGGACTGGCTGGTTGGATTTCCTTGCAGTCCAAGGGTCTCTCAAAAGTCTTCTCTAACACCAGAGCTCGAAAGCATCAGTTCTTCAATGCTTGGCCTTCTTTATGGTCCAACTCTTACATCCTTACATGACTACTGGAAAAATCATATCTTTGACTGTACAGACCTTTGTTGGCAAAGTGATGTCTCTACTTTTTAATTCACTGTTTAGGTTGGTCAACGCTCTCCTTTCAAGGAGCAAGCGTCTTTATTTTCATGCTATGGGAGCATACGGGTCCTCTGTCTTTCTAACAGGCACTCTGGCCTGAGTTATGTGTCAGGAGTATTTGCTGGCCCAGAAAATGGCCCTCTTCCTGTTTTGGAGCTGTTAGTGGAGCAAATCCATCACCCAGCAAAGCATAAGGTTTGTAAGTTCATGGTTAAAACACAAGGTCACAAAGGACCTTCTTCGTTATTCTCACCATTCTCACCTCCTATGGATTCTCCCAAATCCCCACCCCACCATCCTGGGTCCTGCTGCACACCCTGCCTACCCCTTCGCCGTCTGGCGTCTCGTCTGAGCCCCACACTGTGCTGAGGGGAACCCTGCATCTCAGGGCTCATCCTCCCCTCATGGGGGCCGAGGCCTGCGGGGCAGCTCGGCTCCTGGATCCAGAGACAGAGCAGGCAGAAGGCCCTGCTGACCCCAGAGGCTGTCCCCCGCCCCCCACCCACGCGCCCCACCGAGGCCTGCCCCCTGCGTGCAGTCCGGCCTGGGCATCTGTTTCTGCCTGGAAATTGGGGGAGGGGCGTCTGTCCGTCTATTCCCGGTTGCTTGAGTCCCAGGAGCAGTCGGTCCGGTTCAAGGAGGTCCCAGGCTCGCCAGGACTTACCAGGCCGCCCCAGTGCCAACCTGGGGCAGGGCCCTGCCGTCGGGGTACGAGGGACCGACGTGAGCAGGGGTCCTGTGGCCGCCCCCCACTTCCACCCCGAGCCCGGCCGCGCCTGCCCCGCCTGCCGCCCCCACTGCGCCGCGCGCGTCTGTTTGGAGAAGAAAGCGGGCCAATTTGTTTTCATTCAGAATCACTTAAGATCCCATTTTGGAGAAATGAAAGGAGAAAAGCGCGCGTCCCGCGCCCGGCCCGCTGGGTGCCCGCTCGTGCCCGGCGGCGCGCGGGTTGGGGGCGGCGGCCCCCCCCCTCGAGCGCCAGGCCCGGCAGGCCCGGGTCCGAGGGCGGCGGCCTCGGCGCCCTCATCTGCATGAAGCGCACACTCGCGGCCCATCTGCAAAGGCGCAATTAAACGCGGGGGGCGGGGGGCGCCCGAAATTAGCATTTCCGCGGCCATCTGGCGAGAGGAGCGGGCGCGGCCGGACAAAGGGCGCCGGGCGAGGGGAGCGGCGAGTGTGCCGCAGCATTGACCTGCAAATGAGGCTTTGTCAGCGCGCCGAAGCTGGCCGGACCCCGCCCCGGCCCCCGCCCCGCCCGCCGGCCCGCGGCCCCTCGCGGCCCAGGCGCGGGCCGGGCGCCCGGAGGCCTGGCTGTCGCCGGGCCTGTGCAGGAGGTGGGCCTGGGAGCGTTGGAGCCCTTCGCCGGTCCGGGCCTGTGGCCCCGCGGCTCAGCCGCCCTGGGCTGGGGGTCCCCAGCCACCCCAGCGCCTACTGCAGCACCTCTGAGCCTTTGCTTGCCCTGCCTACCTCTGGGGCAGGACTTTTTTGGGGGAGGGGGGCGTCCTTCCTAGAATCCCAGCTGGCGGGTGGAGGGGGCATGGATGAATGGGGGCGAAATACTAAAAACTGGCCAACTGAACACCTGGACAACCCCCGACGGTCTTCAGTGCTCTACATCTTCAGAAACGGTGATTTTAAAGTCTTCTGTGGGCCTTAGACGGCAGGGGGACTCTTCGGCACAGGGCTTTCCAGCTTGGTGACCCAGGCTCAGTGACAAGCCAGCAGTCACACCTTCCTTGCTCAGGACCGAGTCCTCAGAGAATCTCAGCCGCGGGAGAGGGTGGCGCTAGAGGAGCCCCGTGAGCCCTCGGTGGGTAAACTGGGGCCGCAGGGCAGGCCCAGCGTCCTGGAAGCGGGAGGCAGGACGGAGCCCTGGAGATCGGTTCCGTCTAAGTCCTCATCGGCATCGCTCAGGCTCTGGACGCCCCCGAGGACGGTGCGTGAGGCCATCTCTTGGCCTTGGTCTCCCCGGGGGCACAAATGGGCCCCTGAGATCCAGTTCAGAGTGACGCCCTGTGGGCTGCGGCCGCTGGACCGCCCCTCAGCCCCGGCTCCGGCACATCTGAAGGGGCTGTGGCGTGAGGGACCCTTAACCCAGCCTGAGGGTGAGGATGCCTCCTGGAGGAGGGGGGCAGAGGCAGGAGAGGGGGACCGTTGTCCGTCCCCGGGCCAGGGGTTCTCTCCCTGGTGTGTGAGGGGGTGATGCTGGAGATGCGGGAGTTGCTGGGTTCTAAGCTGTGAGCAGCTATGCTGAGTCACGGTTTGTATGTGTGTGCGGGGGGTGGGGGGGGTCTTCAAATACTTCCCCTTAGCAGGGGTCAGAATTCCAAAGTGTCTCCAAAATAGATTCCTCAGGGAATTCCTGAGGTCTCCAAAATAGATTCCTGAGGTCTTCTTCAGCTGCTCCTTCTGGGGGCCCATGCTACCAGAAAGAGAAAGCTGAAAGTTCAGTACTCAATAACACTCTAGTGAAAATTAGCCTGCCAACTGATTTTCCTGGAAATTGGGAGTCGAGGGACAAGTGTCTGAGCCCGAGTCTCTCAGGCAGGTGCCCCCAGACGGGGAGGGTGTGGGGCTGCCGGTGTGGAGGCTGTGCCTGCCAGCCACCCCCAAGGGGCAGGCGCTGTGATGTGCCTGAGACCCTCAGCCTCAGAGGTGGGTCCTGCCTGTGAGGTGGGGCCAAGGTCTCTGGCCTGGGAGCTCTGGTGTTTCTCCACCTGGGCCTTGCACTTTCACTGGGCAAATAAGGCAGAGTAGCATTTGAAGTGGGAGTGGGGTGGGGTGGAACCCCAGCGGGCTCCAGAGGAACTGTGTCGCCGGTCCGCGGGGACAAGGTGCTGGAGGCAGGTGGAGGGCGGTGGCCCCTTCTTTACTAAGTGGTTCTGGGTGGGCATGTCCCGTTCTCAGGGTCAAGTCCATCAGCAGACCGTGGAGCCCCGTGCAGTCTTGTGAACGCCTGCAGCTCCCCACTCTCGTCCCCGGCAGTTCACAGGCCCAGCCCCAGCTGGCTTCCTGCAGGCCGGCGTCTCCTAGACGGACATCCAGGGGCTCTCCGTGCTGTGGGTCCCCTCCATCACCCTCTGAAGGGGCACTGCCCGGCTCCAGAGGACACAGTCAGGGTCTCCCGTGGGCACCCCCAAGCGCTGTGAGGGGAGTGCCGGCGCGTTCTGCTGGCCCTTCAGGGAGTCTTCAGGAAGAAAGGACTCCTTGGCCCGGGCTTTGGCAAGTGAGTAGGAGTTTGTTAGTGGAGATGGGGAGGAAGGACCCGTTTGGCAGGTGATGGGCCCGGGGTGGTGACCATGGTGATGGTGGCGGGCGCTCGGGCAGCTGCTGCTGGTTGGATGGGAGGGGTGGTGGTTGGGGGCTGGGCCTGCAGACCAGCACTTCCTCCTTTGGTTTTCCAGCCCCTGCTTCTAGAGCTGGGTGGGAGCTTGTATTCACCCCTCCTGGCCTTGGGAACACTCTTTTCAGTGTGACCGACAGGGCAGAAGAGCTGAATGACAGGCAACTCGTGGCCCAGCCTTTGGAAGGCAGGGTGCCTCCGAGTCAGGGCCTTAGTCTGCGCGGAGCCTGCTGCTGGCCAGGGCACCCCACTCCCAGCGCTCATTTGCCCTGTTTGCATGGTGAGAGCGTGAGAGGGAGCCCGGGAAGCCAGGAAGGAGCCCCTGAACCTGGGTCTGGCTGCCCAGGAGGGCAAGGCTGCGTCCAGGCCGTGTAGCTGAGCCCTGCTCCCTTCCCTCGCTGCTCCATCCCCTTCTTCTTCTCTGGTCAACAGGTGGCCCCCCAGCAGGAGTCTTGGCCGTGGGAGACCCCGCTGGAAGAGGAACAGCTTCCTCCTGCCCGTCCCCCACCGCCGCCCTGAGATCTGGGAGGCTGCAGCCCGTGCCCTGATGCAGAGCTCAGGGCTGGGCTAGGCCAGCCAGACCATCCGAAGCCAGTGGACTCAGAAGCCCCAGGCTGTTCTGGGACTCCCCTGCAGGGTGTTAACGTGGGGAGGGTGGGGGACCTTCTGCCTTCAATGCAACCTGTGAGTCCACTTGTTTCCTAGGCTGCTCGCACCTGACCCATCTGTGAACTGGGTGCAGTGAGACTCGCCTGACGCGTGTTGGCTCCTGCGGGGGGACTGCTTCCCCTAAGGCTGGCTCTGAGGGCTCCCTGTGCCCACGCAGGCAGCCTGCTGTCCGCGCGGCTCTGCAGGTGGGACAGGGCCTCTGCCCCTTCTCTGCTCACCCTCACACCTGTCCTGGGCACCCAGGTGGGGCACGTCGCAGCCCTCCATCCCCACCTGTGGCCCCCAGGTGGATGGGCGGTCTGGGCAGCACCGGCTCTGGGCGGTTGGTACCCAGGTGCAGGAGGGCCCAGGCTGGGGAGGCGGCCGCCAGGTCGGGCCAGGCTGGCTCCAGTGGACGCTGAATGGGCGCTCTGTCCTGCAGCCCACGGCTGTCATCTGCCGCTGGGATTCGGTTTCCTGGAAGCTGGTGCGGCTGCAGGTGGATTCCGTGCGGCCCGGTGACCTTGCAGCCCGGAGCCCGGGTGCCTCTGAGCCAGGCGGAGGCCGCGGGGGGCGGGAACACTGAGGCCTTCTCCTGGGGGAGCAGGGCTGAGCCGGCCGGGAAAGCAATCTGCCCGCGCCCTCGGGCCTTGCGGGCTTGCTGGCAGGGAGAGGGGCAGCCGGGGCAGCAGTGCCAGGCCTTGGCAGGGCTCGCGGGAGGCTGGGCCAGCTGGGCGCTGGGTAACCGAAGCTGCCTGGACACACGCGGGGTTTTGTGGAGCATTTTCAGGGCATGGCTCTGCCTGCCTCCCACTGGGGCTGGTGGCAGGATGGAGACAGGCAGGGAAGGAGGAGATGAGTGTGTCTGTGGGCGCTGGGGGCCGGGGTCGGGTGCCGGGTCAGACTGCCCGCAGCCTCTTGTCTCTCCACGCAGCTTGGGTTCTGCGGGAGGTGAGGGCAGGGGTTGACCCACCCTGCTCCCTTTAGGCGGGCAGAGATGCTCCAAGCGGTCAAGGGGCCTGGAGGTTCCTGGTGGTTAAGGCAAGGAGCTTGGAGTCAGGCGTACCAGCTCACTGTGTGCCCACCTTCCAGGGACCCCCCCCTTGCACAGGCACACTTTGGGGGGTGTTTCTAGTTGCTGAATCTTTCATTCACAGATTCATTCGTTCTGCCCACAGCCTCCCTCCTGCGGGCGCCCACCTGGCTGCCTGGGGCGGGACACGGGGTCAGAGGTGGTTGGCCCGTCCTCGAAATCTGAGAGGAGGGGTCCTTTGAGCTGCAGCCTCCTCCGTGCGCCTGAAGGGTCTTTCTGGAGCGTCCGGGCTGCTCTGTCCCATGGGGCGGCGAGGAGCAGAGTCAGGGCCAGGAGGACGGTTTTGGCCCAGGTGGGGTGTGGGTATTGGTGTCTCCAGTTCAGCCCACAGCGGTCACACCTGGAAGCAAGTGAGTGTCCACGTGTCGGGCACACTGAGCGTGGCTACAGCAGATGGAGGGAGAACCCAAGAACCAAGAGGCGCCTCCAGACCCGGGGTGAAGGACCAGCATCAGAACAGCCTGGATGGTGGGCTGCTGCCCGTGTGCCCGAGGGGCCCGTGTATCCACGGAGCCCGTGTGCCCATGGAGCCCGTGTGCCCGAGGGGCCCGTGTATCCACGGAGCCCGTGTGCCCGAGGGGCCCATGTGTCCATGGAGCTCGTGTGCCCGAGGAGCCCGTGTGCCCGAGGGGCCCGTGTGCCCGAGGGGCCCGTGTATCCACGGAGCCCGTGTGCCCGAGGGGCCCATGTGTCCATGGAGCTCGTGTGCCCGAGGGGCCCGTGTGTCCATGGAGCTCGTGTGCCCATGGAGCCCGTGTGCCCGAGGGGCCCGTGTGCCCGAGGAGCCCGTGTGCCCATGGAGCCCGTGTGCCCGAGGGGCCCGTGTGTCCATGGAGCCCGTGTGCCCGAGGGGCCCGTGTATCCACGGATCCCGTGTGCCCGAGGGGCCCATGTGTCCATGGAGCTCGTGGGCCCATGGAGCCCGTGTGCCCGAGGGGCCCGTGTGCCCGAGGAGCCCGTGTGCCCATGGAGCCTGTGTGCCCGAGGGGCCCGTGTGTCCATGGAGCTCGTGTGCCCAAGGAGCCCGTGTGCCCGAGGGGCCCGTGTGCCCATGGAGCCCGTGTGCCCGAGGGGCCCGTGTGTCCATGGAGCTCGTGTGCCCAAGGAGCCCGTGTGCCCGAGGGGCCCGTGTGCCCGAGGGGCCCATGTGTCCATGGAGCTCGTGTGCCCATGGAGCCCGTGTGCCTGAGGGGCCCGTGTGCCCATGGAGCCCGTGTGCCCGAGGGGCCCGTGTGCCCGAGGAGTCCGTGTGCCCATGGAGCCCGTGTGCCCGAGGGGCCCATGTGTCCATGGAGCCCGTGTGCCCGAGGGGCCCGTGTGTCCATGGAGCTCGTGTGCCCATGGAGCCCGTGTGCCTGAGGGGCCCGTGTGCCCATGGAGCCCGTGTGCCTGAGGGGCCCGTGTGCCCGAGGAGCCCGTGTGCCCATGGAGCCCGTGTGCCCGAGGGGCCCGTGTGTCCATGGAGCCCGTGTGCCCGAGGGGCCCGTGTGTCCATGGAGCTCGTGTGCCCGAGGGGCCCGTGTGCCCGAGGGGCCCGTGTGCCCGAGGAGCCCGTGTGCCCGAGGGGCCCGTGTGTCCATGGAGCTCGTGTGCCCGAGGGGCCCGTGTGCCCGAGGGGCCCGTGTATCCACGGAGCCCGTGTGCCCGAGGGGCCCATGTGTCCATGGAGCTCGTGTGCCCATGGAGCCCGTGTGCCTGAGGGGCCCGTGTGCCCATGGAGCCCGTGTGCCCGAGGGGCCCGTGTGCCCGAGGAGCCCGTGTGCCCATGGAGCCCGTGTGCCCGAGGGGCCCGTGTGTCCATGGAGCCCGTGTGCCCGAGGGGCCCGTGTGTCCATGGAGCTCGTGTGCCCAAGGAGCCCGGGTGCCCGAGGAGCCCGTGTGCCCGAGGGGCCCGTGTATCCACGGAGCCCGTGTGCCCGAGGGGCCCGTGTGTCCATGGAGCTCGTGTGCCCGAGGAGCCCGTGTGCCCGAGGAGCCCGTGTGCCCATGGAGCCCGTGTGCCCGAGGGGCCCATGTGCCCGAGGGGCCCGTGTGCCCGAGGGGCCCGTGTATCCACGGAGCCCGTGTGCCCGAGGGGCCCATGTGTCCATGGAGCTCGTGTGCCCATGGAGCCCGTGTGCCCGAGGGGCCCGTGTGCCCGAGGGGCCTGTGTGTCCATGGAGCTCGTGTGCCCAAGGAGCCCGTGTGCCCATGGAGCCCGTGTGCCCGAGGGGCCCGTGTGCCCGAGGAGCCCGTGTGCCCATGGAGCCCGTGTGCCCGAGGGGCCCGTGTGCCCGAGGAGCCCGTGTGCCCGAGGGGCCCGTGTGTCCATGGAGCTCGTGTGCCAATGGAGCCCGTGTGCCTGAGGGGCCCGTGTGCCCATGGAGCCCGTGTGCCCGAGGGGCCCGTGTGCCCGAGGAGCCCGTGTGCCCATGGAGCCCGTGTGCCCGAGGGGCCCGTGTGTCCATGGAGCCCGTGTGCCCGAGGGGCCCATGTGTCCATGGAGCTCGTGTGCCCATGGAGCCCGTGTGCCTGAGGGGCCCGTGTGCCCATGGAGCCCGTGTGCCTGAGGGGCCCGTGTGCCCGAGGAGCCCGTGTGCCCATGGAGCCCGTGTGCCCGAGGGGCCCGTGTGTCCATGGAGCCCGTGTGCCCGAGGGGCCCGTGTGTCCACGGAGCTCGTGTGCCCGAGGGGCCCGTGTATCCACGGAGCCCGTGTGCCCGAGGGGCCCATGTGTCCATGGAGCTCGTGTGCCCATGGAGCCCGTGTGCCTGAGGGGCCCGTGTGCCCATGGAGCCCGTGTGCCCGAGGGGCCCGTGTGCCCGAGGAGCCCGTGTGCCCATGGAGCCCGTGTGCCCGAGGGGCCCGTGTGCCCATGGAGCCCGTGTGCCCGAGGGGCCCATGTGTCCATGGAGCTCGTGTGCCCATGGAGCCCGTGTGCCCGAGGGGCCCGTGTGCCCGAGGAGCCCGTGTATCCACGGAGCCCGTGTGCCCGAGGGGCCCGTGTATCCACGGAGCCCGTGTGCCCGAGGGGCCCGTGTGCCCATGGAGCCCGTGTGTCCATGGAGCCCGTGTGCCCGAGGGGCCCGTGTGCCCATGCAGCCTGTGTGCCCATGGAGCCCGTGTGCCCGAGGAGCCCGTGTGCCCATGGAGCCCGTGTGCCCATGCAGCCCGTGTGCCCATGGAGCCCGTGTGCCCATGGAGCCCGTGTGCCCGAGGGGCCCGTGTGCCCATGGAGCCCGTGTGTGCATGGAGCCCGTGTGTCCATGCAGCCCGTGTGCCCATGCAGCCCGTGTGCCCGAGGAGCCCGTGTGCCCATGGAGCCCGTGTGTCCATGGAGCCCGTGTGCCCGAGGAGCCCGTGTGTCCATGGAGCCCGTGTGCCCGAGGGGCCCATGTGTCCATGGAGCTCGTGTGCCCATGGAGCCCGTGTGCCTGAGGGGCCCGTGTGCCCATGGAGCCCGTGTGCCCGAGGGGCCCGTGTGCCCGAGGAGCCCGTGTGCCCATGGAGCCCGTGTGCCCGAGGGGCCCGTGTGTCCATGGAGCCCGTGTGCCCGAGGGGCCCGTGTGTCCATGGAGCTCGTGTGCCCAAGGAGCCCGGGTGCCCGAGGAGCCCGTGTGCCCGAGGGGCCCGTGTATCCACGGAGCCCGTGTGCCCGAGGGGCCCGTGTGTCCATGGAGCTCGTGTGCCCGAGGAGCCCGTGTGCCCGAGGAGCCCGTGTGCCCATGGAGCCCGTGTGCCCGAGGGGCCCATGTGCCCGAGGGGCCCGTGTGCCCGAGGGGCCCGTGTATCCACGGAGCCCGTGTGCCCGAGGGGCCCATGTGTCCATGGAGCTCGTGTGCCCATGGAGCCCGTGTGCCCGAGGGGCCCGTGTGCCCGAGGGGCCTGTGTGTCCATGGAGCTCGTGTGCCCAAGGAGCCCGTGTGCCCATGGAGCCCGTGTGCCCGAGGGGCCCGTGTGCCCGAGGAGCCCGTGTGCCCATGGAGCCCGTGTGCCCGAGGGGCCCGTGTGCCCGAGGAGCCCGTGTGCCCGAGGGGCCCGTGTGTCCATGGAGCTCGTGTGCCAATGGAGCCCGTGTGCCTGAGGGGCCCGTGTGCCCATGGAGCCCGTGTGCCCGAGGGGCCCGTGTGCCCGAGGAGCCCGTGTGCCCATGGAGCCCGTGTGCCCGAGGGGCCCGTGTGTCCATGGAGCCCGTGTGCCCGAGGGGCCCATGTGTCCATGGAGCTCGTGTGCCCATGGAGCCCGTGTGCCTGAGGGGCCCGTGTGCCCATGGAGCCCGTGTGCCTGAGGGGCCCGTGTGCCCGAGGAGCCCGTGTGCCCATGGAGCCCGTGTGCCCGAGGGGCCCGTGTGTCCATGGAGCCCGTGTGCCCGAGGGGCCCGTGTGTCCACGGAGCTCGTGTGCCCGAGGGGCCCGTGTATCCACGGAGCCCGTGTGCCCGAGGGGCCCATGTGTCCATGGAGCTCGTGTGCCCATGGAGCCCGTGTGCCTGAGGGGCCCGTGTGCCCATGGAGCCCGTGTGCCCGAGGGGCCCGTGTGCCCGAGGAGCCCGTGTGCCCATGGAGCCCGTGTGCCCGAGGGGCCCGTGTGCCCATGGAGCCCGTGTGCCCGAGGGGCCCATGTGTCCATGGAGCTCGTGTGCCCATGGAGCCCGTGTGCCCGAGGGGCCCGTGTGCCCGAGGAGCCCGTGTATCCACGGAGCCCGTGTGCCCGA